ATTTTAAATAGAAAAACTATAATAATAAATTAATATAAATTCTAAAATAATATATAATTGTTACATTCACAATACTTGAATTAAATCAATATATTCAAAATGTTTAGAATATTGCATCTGAAGAATATGTATTTATTTCATGCACATTAAAGGGTTAACTACCCTTCATTGACTTAGAGTGAGAGTAAAACTAGACGTCCCGACGTTTGTGCCCTTCAAATGAGTAAAAGGGACGCTACGATCAGGATAGCATACGAAAGCAGTTGGTGAATCGAGCGATTCTTTTGGGGGGGAACTATCGAAAGTCTAAATGGGGTATATCGTGCATGTGTAACGTTATTATTATCCATGGTGTCACGTGGCCAGTTTTTGTATAGCATCCGTATGTGATGTGCCGCATCGCATGGCGTAACCAATATGACAGAGACAGCGAGCGAGGGGGAATGTAAGAGAAGGGGACCACCTGGTAGAAAACTGGGCGTCATTCGTGCAAGGGGATAGACTATGATATTTCCGTAACACCAGGCACATACCGTCTATTTCGAGATACTTCCTGACTGTCTCTCCTGATAATTGTTGATGCGTTATCGTAGTTTTATATAATTTATGTATATAAATATAATTGTGCATAATTTATTATTTGTAATTTTTTATTTTTAATAATTTTTGCGTAACGTTGTGCAATTATTTCTATAATATTATTTATTATAATGCAATTTTTAATATTGAGCTTGTGTTTGTAATTGACATTTTGTTAAATATTCCAATATATTTATTATTATTGGCATTTTTGTTGTAACAAGTCGAGAGATCAGCTGATCGTTACATTATTCCCGAACAGAACATTTTGGATAGTTTGAGGCATATATATATATTTTAATTGCAAAAATAAAATAATAGTTTCTTTATTTTACTTTTCGCCAAATAAATGCAGCATCAAACGCGATCGATTTCCACGGCAGAATTCAAGGAAATATTTAGGTCATTGGGATTATAAAACAATAATTGTTTTGTCTGCTATCCTCTTAACCCCATACAACCGTGAGCAAAAATCCTTTAATCCACTATCCATCATATCTGTTGTGCATCCGGTTAGAAGGAATAAATTTGATCGTCGAAATGCTTCACTGAACTCGCTGATAAACTAGTGAATATCCGACAGGATACACTTTTCAATACAGCGGCGCATAAATGTTGCACGTTTGCGTATCCGTGATCACGTATGCCATGCACGCCGCGTTAAGCATTTAGGATTTTACATCACGATCCATGAATCGATAGGAAACGTTTTTACTTTTTGCAAATGTTTCTATTTTTTTACAAACAAACAGGAATTTTTGATATTAAATACGGGCAAATAAAATCATTTGTTAGAATAAAGATCTGCTAATTCTTTTGTTACGTAATTTAATTAAGAAAGAAAAAAACAAGCTATATTGCAATATATATATATATATATATATATATAAAGTTGTATTAATAATAAGTTATGTAATAAGCTTTATCATTACAAACAATTTATGTTAATTGTGACATTTTTTAATTTCTCCCTCATAATCAATATTTGTTCAATCAACTCCAAATTCATAAAAAAATCTGTATCTTTTTAATTTGACATTAATTGTCAATTATTTTAGAGATAAATTCTGTGTAAGATATCGTACATATATGTATATGCGTATGTATTGTAAGCGGATTTTGAGATATAAAAACTTTTAAAACAACTAATAATTAGATTCCGAAGTAATTCCAACTTTGTAAGTACGTGAAAGGAGTTAATTTGCGCGCAAGAAATCTTGTGGTTCAATACAGTTGTCGCAAACTTCTTCACCGTAGTGGGATTTTTTTCTCAAAGAAAAGATTCTTAATTAGCACGCGTATGTGAATGCGTTTTCGACTCTTTTTAACAAGTTATAACTTCAAGGTCGTTTTTTAGATCGGCTTTTAATGCGAAATAGTGCTCGACGGATAGAGCACGTGCTTTTTAGGTGTCACGCGAGTGCTTCTCTTAAATTGCACGTGAAAATGTTTCAAACTCGAATTCGTCGACTACGTGATAATGGTTCTCCTCCCTCTGGCCCCCTTCGGTCGTAATCGGTAAGCACAGTGGTTTGAGATGCACACTGGGAGGGTTACACGGACGTGTACGTGAGAGAAGCATGAAGAGAAAATCGGAGACGGTCATTACTTCGCAATCAGCGAGCGACAGGATGAATATTATGGTTATTGCCGAGTATTACTATGATATCGTGATATTAATCCGATGTACGTG